TTTAATTAATGTATCAAACGTAATCCAATGATTTATAGAAACAGATCATTTTTCCCTGTACCAAGATTAATATTATAGGGATTTATCAATGCCATATATGTTGAATGATGACTTTTAGTGATCTCTCGTAAAATACTACGAATGTAAATCATCTCTGTGGAACAATTATTACAGTAGAATAGGTATTGTGTCGCATTGTTTTAAATGTCAACCTTTTGTTCGCACCTGCTTGAGTTCTTGGAAATCTCTAAAACGATTTTCCACTATGAAATACATTGTTGAAAGCTTTTCACTTCTCATTCAGGCAATAAACAAAGGTTCCGTGGAAAATATTTACTTGTAATATATTATATATCTTTTTAGGTTGTCAATTAATGAAAAACGTTCGTCATACTTTGTAAATTTAATAATAAAATAACTATAAGCTTCTTCTTTAAAATGAAAATTATTTCGAATAGGTTATGGGCTCTTCATAATCAGTAACCAGATGCAAGAAGATATATTTAATATTTTACCACCAGGAGTTAGTTTTCTTCAAATAAGTAGAAAATTAGAATTCAAGTCATTCTCGCTGAAAAGTAAAATGTAAACTGACACTAAAAATTGAACAGGGAGAAATAGAACCTTCAGAAAGAACAAAGTTTAGTAATAAATCGATAATCATACAATGGATAAAGTATTAAAGATATAAAGATATATATATTTTCAAAAGAATATTTTCACTTGTTATCAGCGAGAAGTTTTAAAATATCAAAAGGAAATTAAACCAATACGAAAAATAATAATGATAATGCAATGGAAGTTTTGTGCATCCAATATGCAATAGTTTTGCTCATTCACAAAGCCTTCATTCACCGTTAAAAATGATTTATTTGCAAGAAACGACGTCAACCGCTTGGTAAAAGGAAATAAATTTTCAATTGAAAATAATAAACTTAAATTGAGAAAAATCAATACAATTTGAATATTCCAAGAACATTCCTTTGCATTCTAATTCCCATGGAATTTTACGTCAACCCAGCTTAATAGAATGGTAAAAATGTGTTTGTGATAAAATTTTATAGGTGAATCGTTTGGGAATTTTTATTTTTAAAATTAAAATTTTTCTCTAAATATATTATATAAAGTTGTTAATCGCTGCTTAGTCTTTTATTCATTTCTTTATGAAATTGCTCTAGGTGTTTCATCTCTTCTATTTTGTTTTCCATATTTTTCTAGTTGCATTTTGCGTGTATACACAAACACATTTTTATTTTTAATTTTAAAATTAATAATGGGAGGCAAAACTGAAAAGAAATTTATGATTTATGAAATAGACTTTTATGAATACTGTTGAAAACAAATAGCAGAAAACAAGAGATGTTTTAATATAAAATCAAGCGTTCAACAGTTCTTAAGAAGCTAAAGAAGGAAAAGTGGTATCACTATAATTTTACTTTAGTTCTGGAACTTAACGGAGACGATTTTGATAGACAAATTGAATTTTCCGACATTATTATTATTGAAAAAATAACGTATATCCATAGCATGGAATAGACTTTCCCGCATTAAAATACCTAGCCACTGTTAATTTTAGTTTGCTAGTTTGCATCAATAATAAACATATAAAATAAACAGTATTAATTGAACTTGTGCATAGTTCTGCAATATCAGTACAGTAATTTTTGAACTAGTCTACCATTATTAGAAATATCTACTTCTAATTAGTTACAAACTAAACTTTACGATTCAAATTTATTAATGATTGGTGCTTCTAGAGTTACTCTAATTATCTGTTCATGAAATTTAATCATTAATGGAAAGTAAACATTTCAGTCTAAATTCTGGGAAACTATAATTGATTTATTCACCGCACGAATTTAAATAGTTTAGTAGTAGTTTAGCGAAACTATATTATTAATATTTGCGTATTGGATAATCTAATAATTCTATTGATATTTATAGTCATATTTATCGATGTAAATAGGTTGTGTAAAAGATAAATAGAAGACATCATTTATATAGGAATGAAAATACGTACCCATGATGTTTGTGGATGTGTTTTAATTAGAATTGATTTAATATTTAGTAAATCAGTTATACTAAAGAAATAATGAATAAATAAAGAGAAAGGTGAGAAAAAATTGAAAACCTCCAGGTTCGCCAAAAATAAAGTAGTACACAACATTGTTAGAAAGAAATATTTAAAAATAATTGAAAAAAATATGCTGAGATTTGCGAAACTTTTGAACGGGAGAAAGGAGCGTCAACAAAAAGGGCGAATAAAAAATGGATTAGCTCTTTCAGATATGGACTATGTTACCATTTTAGAGAAGAAGAATACTTAATAATTTGAAAAAATGTTTCAGGTGCAGTCATAGTTTGTTAAAGTTAAAAAACGTTTAGGGAAATAACAAACAGTTTAAAATGTTTATGATAGAAACCTATTTTTTTATTTTTGATAATGTTTAGGTGTATTTACTTCAAGTATTAATAGTTGGTTTAACAAAATTATGGGGAAACAAAAAGAAGAGCTTTACACAATGAAAAATTACCAATGGGGTTATAGTAAGAATTAAATAGCTTATAACTAGTTGATTAAATTAAAATAAATGCTTGACAAATCTTTTATATTAGTTTTATTGTTTACAAAGTTTATATTTGTTTTGAGGATTTTTATATTTGCAGAGTTAACAAAAATGCAAATTTTCTAATGTATTTTATTTAAATGGTAGAATAATAATTATTTTTTTTAAATATTATTTTTATTATTTTTTATGCTTTTCATTTCTTGATATTAAATTTCAAATTTTAAAATTACGGTTTAGTTATATTGTTTGGTTTACGAGCAATTTTTACATTATAATTGTAGAACATTTTAGACACTTGTTCTGAAAGTTCTTTTACCTATACCAATTTAATAATGTTTAAAAATGGATACTTAAATATTACAGTGATACCTTAATGCGTCTGAGTTATTTATTTAAAATAAACAGTTCTAAAACTAAATATTTTTTAGGTAAAATAATGACAGTTTTAGAGGACAATATACACTAAATAAGCACGACAAAATATGGCCAAATTCAAATAGGAATAGCACTTTTAAATATATCCAATATATTTTTTGTATATAATATGCTTAATATGATGAATTATAGAAATTGATTATAATACTGATACTTTGTATAATATTCACTATATATAATTTGAATGCTATTTTTATCGATCTTATTGAATTTATCCCAACAAGTTTATGGTTTAGGACTTGTATTTAAGAAACTTGTGAAAAAATTACTAAAAAGATAGTATTATCTCTAATAAGCTGTTGTTGAACTGCGCTGTATTTCAAATAATAGTGTTATGCATATATGCATAATATGATGATAATAGCGTTTTAATTATATAAATTGATTATATTAGTAATACCTCTACATATTCTTTACTGTATCCAATTAAAATGTTTTGTTATTTTTCATAAATCTTATGGTATTTATCTCAACAAGACCTATATTTAAGAAACTTTTGAAAAAAATTACTAAAAACTTAGTATTATCTCTAATAAACTGTTTTGGAACAGCGCTATCGGTCTGACAGATATAAAAACAATCTGTGTGTTTATGTCGACCAAAACAAAAATAACTTTGGACAATCTTTTGATTACAAGCTGCATCGTCAAATTTAAACTGGTATCCTAAATATAACCTTTTTTTTAACCATTACCTATAGTTTCAAAATAAATAATATAAAAAACAAAAACCAACAAAAATAATGAAAACAAAAAATAAAACAAAAAATGATAAAATTATATAATATATGTTCTTTATTCTGTTTGTTTTTTGTTTATTTGTTTTTGTTTTGTTTTCGTTTTTGTTGTGTTTATTGTTTTTTCTTTTTTTGTTCTTTGTTTTGTTTATTAAAAAAAATGAATTCGTATAAAGATAATTGTAACACAACTGTTTCAACTCTTGTTAAATTGTTGATAAATAATACATTCATTTTGTTATTTTTTTACTAGAAAAGTATATTTGCAAGTTTTTAGCAATTTTTTTTATGAATCAATTTGTGTTACCATTTTAAATAGACCAGTTTATAAACTGATGTTTCAAACCAAATATTGGTTTTGATATTTGTATACCTTATTTTTACGTCTATCTTCCTTTTATAAATCTCGGAGTTTTATCAACATTAGTACTTGGCAAGCTATATAAATCTCCATTTTCTTCTTATATTATAACGTCAGTAATGAATATCAAAAATTGCTGGTTGATCGAGTTTTATTAAATTGAATTTACGCCTATAATAACAATTCATATTTCTCTCATATTTCAGTTCAAAAATTTTATTTCAATGAGTCCATTTTAAAACCTTCATTTGAGGATATCAACAATGTGAAGTGTTCTTTCATCTCAATAGAAGTTTCCAGTAAATCTGTGCACTTTTCAAAAGTAGTTCAGGGATTTGAACGGTTATCGACCCACTACGGAATTGATATTTTGCGTGCCGGTAAATATGACTTTTATTGGCCTTTTAAACTTTAGCAATATGTGAAATTGTTTTAGAATTCCTCCAATTAAAAGGTCTCATTGATTTTTAGTTATCTATATATAAAGGGAAATTGAATTTCGTCTTAAACACTCAAAAGTTACAGGTACACTGATTTTAATGTTATTTTTTAAATGAAATGTATTTTATTTTTGTCTATTTACTATCAATTTTAAAAGTTACAAAAACATGTAATAAATAATAGTTTAAATTAATAATCCTAAGAAATCCTAAGGATAACACCAAAATAAGAAACTAAGGGAATCATGTAAAATAATAATTTTTATAAAGTATTCAAGTATAATCTGTGGTTAAACTCACTAATAAAATAAACAATGTACCTATGCTCGAAAAAACAAGTCAAGAGTACGATAAAATAACTGTAAAAAATATCTCAATAATAGCTATTATTTTTATAATGAAAGTTAAAATTTCTGGTTTATTAATAAGAAAAATTGTTACAAAAAACTCACTCTTACCTTTGTTCTTCTGAGCTGTCGCTTGCCCTTGTACCACGTGATTATTGCAGGTGGACGAGACCCCGCTGATTCGCATGTAACTTCGTAACGTTTATCGGCCACCAGAGGTCCTTTCACTTCAGTTATTGCAGCCGTTAAAGGTCGCACTGCAAGCAGCAATATTTTGTAATTAATAAAGAATAAAGGGGTCTATTCTGTAACAATTCCTTTATATTTTAACGGCCTTTAAAAATATTTTCCTCTTTACTTCTGTCATTAAAATACATTAGAGGACTATCTTAAAAAAATCTGTTTAAATAATGACAGAAGTAAATTAATGAATACGAAAATATTTTTAAAGGCCGCCAATATTTTAATGGCCGTTAAAATAAAAAGGAATTGTTACAGAATAGACCCCAAAGTGTTTTTAAATATATTTTTTTAGGACATTCCTATCTGTTGCGTAACCCGGTACAGCAATTGTATGAATTATGTTAGTATATCGAATTAAAAAACATATACTCAATAGGATCTTCGTTCTTAAGGTAGTGAGAGTCTAATACAATTTAAATAGTTTCTTCTAAAGGCTTGGCATGATTATCATCAAGATCATCTTCTCTTGTCACTGGACAAAAAAATGATGAGCAGGGAGCTGGAAGTGGAAATAATTTGCAAACCTTTAATACACAATTTTTCCTGCTTTTACACAGTATGGAATATAAAATCTACTTACGGTTTATCTTCAGCACCACAAAAGCTTCCTTGGGTTCAGTAAGTTTCGTATTAACAGCTTGACAAGTAAACAAAGCATCCAAATCCTTTCTTCTAATTGATGGCCATGTCAATATATTTTCAATGACGTCACCTGCATTGTGCTCGTACTGATCATCAACTATGAGTCCATTGACCAACCATCTAACTACTGGTTGGGGATGACCTCCTACGGTTCTGCACGTTAATGATATGTCGTCCCCTTCATCGTAAGGACCAATTGTGGTATTCAAATGTCTACCCCATTTGTCTAAGATTGTTGGAGGTTCGGGTGGCACTGCAAAAGAAAAAATATTTTAAACTTAGTTCGTCTAAAAAAAAAAAAATGAATTCTAATGATGATTAAACGTCCTTTCACTTTCATTATTTGTTAGATTAATATTATTATTACATTTGGCGTACTTTAATTTATATAGAGTGAAGTTTTAATCTACTTTTATTTGCCTTATTATTTATTTTTGGTTATATTTAGCTATTGATTTAACAATTAAAAAATTCTTACCAGGTTACCACGACCAATCTCTCATATTTGCCCATAAGATGGCAAAAGAGAGTAGCCATTTATAATGTTTTTTATTCGATCTTTTTTTTTCCCTTGTGCTTAAGGTAGTAGAAGAAAATCCGTTAAAAATTGATGTGATAACAAAGATTAGTTTTTTTATTAAATATAACAATAAATTGATTATTTTAAACATTTTGGTAGATGACTGATTTCATTTCATAGAATTATCGGGGTTATGATGGACAAGTAATGTTATTTTTAACAGACACGTTATTTGTGAACAGGTTGTAATTTCTGTGTGTTTTTAAAATAACAGACCTGTTAAAAATAACACAGGTTGTCAATCATAACCCTCTTATTAATTTATTTGGAATAATATATTGATGATTTTATTTAAGTATGGTATGATTTGAATTGCAACTGATAACCTTTTATTTTAAATTGAAAAAGCAGTAAAATATCAATTAGTTTTGGAGATATTTAAATTCGTTTTACGCTCATACTAACTAATACATCAATAAATAATTAAATAACTAATGAGTAGTAATGCTAAAGGACAAAGCTGTTCATGTATTAGTGTAAACAATAAACCTATTATTTCTATACAAAATAAATTGAAATCAAATAAAAATTGTCTCTAGCTCTAGCCCTTTGTCAGTTATTCTATTTCCAGCGAATCCATGGAATATAACGAATAAAAGAGGAAGCCGAAATCTGTTAAGGCCGTAGCTAGAAAGACCTTTCATAATGAAGTCCTTATTGATTTCTCTCTGTAATCTCTATGCCAGATGGATATTTTCATTATTCTAGGTGCACTCGTTTCGAGGGAAATATGCCCCTTTTTATTGGTCTTGACGGAATTTCTTTTACTTTAATGTGCATTTGACGATGCGATAAATCCCACGACTGATATCTTTTTCATAGTCCCGACCTGTTCGTTTGTGAGTCTTTCACCTCAAAAATTGGATTCAACTCTTACGTATACGGTAAGATTTTATTGACAGAGAGCGTAAAAAACGTTATAAAAAGGTTATGTCAGTAGAAAATCGGTAACGATATATAACTTTGTGAAAAAGAGCATTAAAATGAATTAAGTCACTGTGTTCAAATCATTCTCTTGTCCAGGTGATTCCATATGATCTATATTTCTTAATAAGGAAGATATAGATTTTATTAATTTATTTTCAGGTTTAGCACCCTGTATTCTTGTCTAAAATCGAGTTGTAGTTAAATTTAGACAGAACTAAGTCTTAATCTATAAATTTGCTTTTAAAGGTGAGAGGTGAGAAAGTCGATTCGCTTAGCACGTATATCATTCAGCTCCTCATTTAATTAGTGATAAAAGTGGTTAAACTAAACTTCAAAATACTTTGATGTATTCTAAGTGACGCAGAAAATAAGGAAGATTACCTAGGCCAAACTTGGTGAGAGATTTTTTTGCATACATAAACAGTATTTGATATAAAAGTGCATCATCTATTAATTCTCAATAACTCAATAAGGACGAATTTCGCTTGCTTTTAGACTATCGATAAACTTTTTTTTTTTTTTTTTTGTTGTTCACTAGAAGTAAAATAAAGCAGGTGTTAATTCCACCACAGTTACCAAATAAAATAGAATTTTTAAAATATGCCAAAAAATGATGAAATGACTATTTCGGAACTATATCAAAAGCTAATAGAAGCAAATGAAAAACAAACAACAGATATTACATCGAAAATTGACCATAAAATAAAGGATATTCAGGAAAAAGTCGGTGAATTGGAAAGCAAAGTAAACCTAATTAATAAGAAAGTTATAAACAATGAAAGGATGATTCGTCGTAATGGTGTGGTGGTTTTTGGACTTGAAGTGGACAAGTCAGATTTCATAAAGAGCACAACTCAAAAACTAAATACACTGTTAGGAACCAGTATTACTCGAGCTGATTTAAACAATATCTACCTTGGTAATGAAAAAGAACCAAAACCACGCATCAACATTGAGTTTACGTCATATTTGAAAAAACAGGAAATATTCGCAAATATTAAAAAGTTAAAAGGTTCTGGAGTAGGTATTGTAAATGACCTAAGTTACGAAGAAAGACAAAGCCAAAAAGTTCTAAAGGATCACTTACAAAACGCCAAAAACCAAAATCTTCAAGCAAAAATTAAGGGAACCAGACTAGAAATCGAGGGAGTACTATATAACATTGAAGATCTTAAGCGATTAGAAGAAGAAGGGGCAAACAACGAAAGCAGCAGTGAAGAAGAAACAGAAGATAAGGAAAAACTAAATAAAAAAAAGACAAAGACAAATAAGCGTAAAAGTGGTCAAATAATCTATAGCCCACCAGCTGAACGCAATTTGAGAAGCGGCATCAAAAAATAACTACCTAATTAATATCCAAGTAGTTATTAAAAAAAAACTTTCTTCAGTTTCCTTTAGTTATTTATTTACTTAGTTTTGTTTTTTTGGATTACTTCAACTATCTTTAATATTATATTTTATCAAATAATTCTGATACTTTATTTATTGAACACATTTGCATAAATATTTTACCGTGGTGGAATATACTAAAGTACAATATACAAACATGAAGCTAAAAAAGCTGAAAATTGCCCATTTAAATATTCACACTCTACAGTCTAAAACTGATAATATACGCGATTTAATTTTACAAAAAGATATTGATATTCTGGCACTATCTGAAACTTGGCTCTCTCCACAAATAACCAATACTACGTTACATATTCCTGGTTTTAATATTTCCAGAAAAGACAGAAACACAAGGGGTGGCGGTCTTTGTTTTTACGTTAAAGATTCTTTAAAATTTAAAAATATATCTAGTGTACATTTAAAAAATGACTTTTTTGAACAACAGTGGATTTCCATCCAAAATACACGCAATACAATTTGTATTGGCAATATTTATCGTCCACCTGATACAAATTTAAAAATGTTTTTAGATCACTTTGAAGATACTATATCGACTATGAATATCGAATCTCAAAATTTGATTTGTGTAGGAGACTTTAATATTGACCTACTTGTAAATAATAATGTTACGTCTGACTACCTAGCTATACTTGACGGATTAAACATGAAGCAAATTGTTACCGAAGCAACAAGAATCACTCTTAGCTCAAGAACATTACTTGATCATATTATCTTAACCGAGAACTTAAAAATAATTAAACATTCTAATCTCAATTTTCCGAGTTCCGATCATAATTCAGTTGACGTAATAATAAACATAAATTTAAAAAAAACCCAGCCCTTATTTAAGCAATACAGAGATTTTTCAAAATTTAATTTGGCTAATTTTGATGCAGATTTACATTCTCTTAATTGGGAAACAATATATTCCTTTAATAATGTGGATGAAAAGTTAAATTTTCTTAATAACTCCATTAAAAATATATTTGATTATCATGCGCCTTTAAAAATATCTCGTTTTACTAAACCTTTTTTGCCATGGATAACACCGAATATAAAACTTTTAATGTCATTACGAGATAGAGCCTACACTAAATTTAAATCTAGTAATAACGCAGTTCATTGGAATTATTACAAAGATCTGCGTAATTACACAACGGGTGCAATTAGAACTGAAAAAAAAGTTTACTTGGAACAAAAACTTCAAAATGCAGATAGTAAAAATAAATGGAAAATTTTGAGAAAATTTAACATTATTGGAAATCCTAAGACAATAAATAACTTTAATTTTAAAACTAATGCTACTGAAATTAATAGGCATTTTTTGTTCACAACAGGAATCGTGAAAGATCCACATAATGAAACACACTCCTTTTATAGCAATAGTCTAAAAAATGAATTTGTATCAAAATTTAAATTTAAAACAATTTCGGAAGAAGATGTAGCTCGCTCTATATTGAAAATAAAAACAAAGGCCTGTGGATATGACGGCATTAACATATCCTTAATACATTTTTTTATGTCCGCACTTACTCCCATATTTCACACACTTATTTAACTATTGCTTATCAAACTCAGTGTTTCCATCTTGTTGGAAAGAGGGACTAGTTACACCCATACCTAAAGTTGAACCACCTTCTGAATTAAAGGAATTACGTCCTGTGACAGTACTTCCAACTTTATCAAAAGTTTTAGAACGAACAATGGAATTTCAAATAAAACAACATCTGGATACATACTCTATACTACCAACGGTTCAGTCAGGATTCAGACCAGGTTTTAGTTGTGGGACGGCACTGTTAAATATCACAGATGACATACTAACTGAACTTGATAATAAAAAATGCGGTGCTTTAATTTTGCTTGACTACAGTAAAGCTTTTGATATGCTAAATCACCAATTAATGTTCGCTATTTTAAGTTACATAGGTTTCAGTAATTCTGCAATAGAGCTTCTTAAAAATTATTTTAATAATAGGACTCAACGAGTAAGTTTCCTTAATGACATTTCAAATGTGGGTATAATAAAAAGAGGCGTTCCCCAAGGTACAATTTTAGGACCTTTACTGTATACAATTTACACCAGTAATATTCCGAATGTATTAATGCATATGAAAATACATATGTATGCAGATGACACTCAGTTGTATTACTTCTTTAATAAAGAATATATTACCAATGCACAAAATTTAATAAACACTGAGCTAAAGGCATTATTAGAAGCATCTAAAAAACATGACTTGGTAATTAATAATTCTAAATCAACTATTATGTTATTCGGAAATAATATATTACCTAATGAGTTAATAATCAAAATTGAAAACGACCCTTTAAACACTACTGAGCAGGCTAGAAAT